AGATAATTAAGAAATGTGTTCTCTTGAATGCACAGATCTTTCAGTTAAGACAGGCTTGACTTCACTAATAACTGAGTTCCACATTCCCCTTTTGCCTAGTACTTATCAATAGTCAGACCCTTGGCAAGACATGAACACTAAACCATCAATTTCCTGAAAAAAAATGAACCTAATGTCTGTTCCATTCATCTCCTAGGCTTGTTCTAAAAATCCTTTAAACAGCCTACATAAATAAATAAAACATCTAATTGCATAAACAAATTCTTTGAAGAAATTCATTTCTTTTTCATCCAGTTAGACACAATCTTTAGGATCTAAAGGAAAAGTAGATTTATTATCTAACAAATGACAGTATTTGAATTACAGAAAAAAAAACTAATTATAATTCTCCAAATTCATAATTTACATTGCAACGAGCTTGCTACTTAGGGGATTGATTAAAATCACTGTTATCTAAAATGCCTCGTCCCATATTTCTTTGGGAATGCAAATTCTAGTTTAGCAAATAAGGAGTGCACTTTGAAAATGAAATTAATGTTGACACTAGGGAAAAAAACCCATAATCCTCAAAAATGTTTTTACATGAATCTTACTAACTTTCCCCAAACTGTATTATTAGGAAACAAAATTTAAATGATAATTATAAGCATTCTCACTGAGGTATCATTTTGGAAAATAGATAACAACATTTAATAAAAAGATACCACCACTAATAGAAAAAAATGAGCTTTCAGTTTTGTAGAAACACAAGTTCTAGTTGTTAACCAACTTCTGACACCCAACTTTAGCCAACTCTTGCTTTGAATACTAATCAAATGGAAATGACCCTAAGTTAACACCTTAATGTAATACCTTTCTTTAAAACTCTTTGCAAAGAAACATGTTCTTCTAACAGACTTTTGGAAGATTAGGACTGATCTCAAAGAGCACTTAGTTCAACCCTCATGTTAGAGAAAGAATGGTTTTTGACATGAGGCAGTAAGAGACTTGTATTGTTGATTCTCTGGTGGATGATCAATTCCTGTAAACACTGGTAGTGTGAAATAGCTCACTAAGCAAAAGCAAATCAACAAGTAAAGGGGTCCTCATTTTAAGAAGCACAGCAGCAAGGTGAGGAGAATAATAAAGGGAATTGACATTGGGATATACAGTGAACATGTGTGGAAAAGAATGAAATCTACCCAATCTAACTAATGTAAGCTAATAAAAAACAAAACAAGGCCAAGCGTGGGCAGCTCACGCCTGCTGTAATCCTAGCTACTCAGGAGATCTGAGAGTTAGGTTCTCCAATTAACAACCAAAAAGCCAGAAGTGGAGCTGTGGCTCCAGGGCAGTGTGCTAGCCTTGAGCAAAAAAGCTCAGAGATACAGAGCCCAGGCCTCAGGACTACACACACACACACACACACACACACACACACACACACACACTAATAATAATAATGATAATAGTAATAAGTTGGGCTTTTTTTAAGACAGCAAGATATCTTCCCCTCAATGATACTGAAAATTCTGGTACTTCCTGTAAATTCTGAACCTAGGATTTAATAGTAATTTGGTTGATTCTTAAAGGAACAATTGATACCACCGTCTAAAATTGTGCAGTACCACAAAGGTGAACACACTTGATTCCCTGCTCAGATTTATTGGAGCTCAAGTGACCTAAACAGTTATTTTCTTCATAAAAATAAAAATATGCAACAGCAATTTCTTAAGTACATAACAAAACATCCTGAAGCATGAAGTAACATGAGATGAAATAGCCTACAGATATCAATTCAGACAGCTTTATAAAATGTCATTTATCTAAGGCATTTCTGTAATTGTACATACACACACACACACATACACACACACACAAAACACTACACACGATTCTATATATAAAAGGCATCTATTCATGAACAGAAAGAAAATGTCCTTTAGAAGCTCTGTGTAGAGAAGGCTAAAGTAATACATAATTTAGATGATAATTAATTTTTAAGAGAAAAATTCAGATTCTAAGAAACAGTGATTTACATGCAAATAAACATGTCCATTTTCAGACCTGGAATAGGTAAGGGATTTTTTTTTCTGTTTTGTTTTGCTTTTTGATACAGGCTATAAGAAAATTCACACTGTGAATTTTTCTTCAAAGGGCCACTTTCGAAGTACAGATTTCAAATCCAAAGCAAGTATTCGTGGCACAAACAAATGGGAGGCCTAAATTTCAAACATTAGCTTCCATGTGGCTTTTCTCCTCAGTCCCTTGCCTGCTACCAAGAAACCAGTCCCTAGAATAGGAACAACAACTACATGTTGTACCATGATATGCTATGGTGTTTCTGAATGGTAAGTTTTTACATTTAAATCACAATGTGCTGGGAGATTTCTGAATTCTTGAAATAATGGAGTATATTAATCCTATCACAAAATGGCTTTGATCACGACATCCAAACACTTTCATATAGACTCAGATTTCTCTCTAGAACAAAAAAGAGGGGGAAAAACTAGGAAAAGATAAAGCTGACAGAGAGAAGTGACAAGGTAAAAAGAAGTAACTCTCAGTAGCTAATGATCTAAATCAGTCAAATTGTTGGCTTTCTCCTTCATAAAGGAAGTTTCTAGTCTGGCTTGTACTGTGGCCTACTATCAGCGATATGTTTGGGTACCCACCTGTCCCTGTTCATTCTGACAATCTCACACGCATTTCACGATTTAAGGAAGAAGTCACCACTTTTCAGGTTCTGAACATATTTAAAAAAATTAAATACAGATATTTAAAAAGTTTGATTGACACACTCTCACTCCCTAGACTGCCCTCCAACCCCAATGTAGCTAATTCTGTTATAAAACCTCTGTGGGAAGACAAATTCAAGTCTGCCAAAGAAATAGCACAGATATTTCTTCCATGTTTACTCCAAATTAACGCGCTCTTCCTCTGAGAACACAGCATTTCAGGTTACTTGAATTCTGCCACTGTTTAACTAGTCTTTGTACAAGTAAATTCAGGGCTTACTAGTGGAGAAGTGACAACCTTCATACAAAAATCCAATTTCAGTTGAGTCTTTGTGATGACCTGAGCAAGAAGAAACACCCTTTCTCTATAATGAGGCAGCTTCATTATAACACCAAATTAACGTAAAGCAAATTAAATAAAGTAACATAAAGCAAATTCACTATGCAAACACATGTAACATTTATATTTATACTAATGTGAAATACATTCATATATTGACAATGGTTATTTTTTTTCTTAAGCTTTCTTAGATTTTCAAAGGAAAACAAAGTCATTAGTTAGTGAGAAAATTCTACTGTATGACTTAAAAAATGATTTTGGTTGGTTGCTATTTGACAAAGTTTAGAGTTTCCCACTAGGTCCCATACAAACTGAATTTTAAAGTACATGGCCATACTACACATATGTCAGATATTAATCTATGCAGTTGAATTAAAGATCTTTACATGTATACCCCCCACACACATACACTTAGGATATTTCCATTATATAAACAAAGTATCAATCCTTAATAATAGGTCCAGGATAGCAGCAATTTAATAATCTAGTTACCCAGTTACCTCAGAAAATACACTAGGGCTGTAAGTAGTCCTGATATGGTATCCCTGGTTGTAATTCTGCCACTGGAGAAAGCATTTTATCTTTTCAAACCCCACTTATTAAAATCTGACTATTAATGGTATAATGAAAAAAAGGAGGCCACAGTGAGGTGATAAGTCCAAACTATTGAAGATACGCAAAAGCATTTCCATCTTATTCCTTGCATATCTTGTTGTGTTATCAAAGGCCTGTACAAAACTCGATTATCTTAGCTGCTAAAAGAGCCATGTTAGGTTATGCTAAGAAGAGAGCTGCTCTGAACTGCTTGAAAATATGTAAACAACTCCATTAAATTAGTGCTTTTCTAGAGATGGCATGATATTGTACTAAACATTGTTTTAAAAGTTTTATTTCTGAAGCTATACCCTTGGCCAAGTTATGAACCCATAATCAAAATTCATATATACACCACACACACACACACACACACACACACACACACACACACACACACACACAAATAGCTTCATTGAGAAACCATTTTAGTCACAGAGGGAAAGGTTTTAAGAAAATTATCTTGAGTCTACTACTAGGAATAGCCATGCATACCCAAAGTGGGCTGCACATCATGACTATAGATGTACATATGGACCTTAATATTTACTTAGGATGGATACTCTCCAAATCTGTTAGGGTTATACCCACAGAGCCCAAGCAAGATCCCTGTTTTCCAGCTCTACCACTGTACCCCATGTTCCCCATGAAACAATTTTGTAGACTATCATTGCTATCTGTAAGAGAGGAGTTGGTCACCTTAAAAATGTACCATTTGCCACTGGTTCTTGGTGGCTCATACCTGTGATCCTAGCTACTTAAGAGACAGCCAGCCTGGGAACCAACCTTGCTAGACTCCGTCTCAACCAATTAAAAATCAGATATGATGGTACATGCCCATCATGTTCTGCTACACAGGAAGTTAAATAAGGAGGGTTGCAGTCCAGATCAACCTGCACACACACACACACACACACACACACACACACACACACACACAGTAAAAAAGGAATTCCTATTTTTTAAATATCAAAAAGCAATAAGGACTGGGTACGTGGCACAAATGGTACAGTGCTTTGCTTAGGACCACACAGACACAAAAAGTGGAATGAGACCATTTTGTTTTACACGCTGCAACCCTTTTCCTGAGGTGTTCCTCCTGCTTGAAGCTGAGATCACACACAGAGAAACCTATTGTGCTTCTGCCAGGTCACAGTGGGAATGCTGGGAATGGCATAGCCAGTGGTCATCACAGGCAAGGCCGGCCGAGATACTGACTCCTAAGATAAGCAGCTTGCTTCATTCTGAAGAGAATTCCTCACGGTGAAGTTTTATCCTCTGCCCTTCCCCACCCATGGGTTCCTGCCACATTTCTCACGGTGATCAAATCAACACAGAACAGACTCCTCTCAGTTAGTATATATGTTGCCAACCAGGACAACACATTTATTATATTGAATGTTAACTCAGGTTCCTTGAATTTGGCTCGAAGATGAGCAGCCCCATGGGATCCTTTGGATGACAAAATAATGATGTATCAGTAGTTCTTCCCTCACAACCCCAAACTCCTCTGACATGCTCCGAACACACACAGTCTTGACTGTAGATCCAGGTTCTTGTGACATGGGAACACTTGCACGAGGGATTTGGCCTTTTCCAGAGCTGAATGCTTGTAGGCAATTTCAAAGTCTGGACACAAGAGGCACTTCCAAAGTTTGGCAAGGAGGAGGAGTCAAGATCACTAAGTGGGGTTTTGATCACTATGCGGTCTCAGATAACCTGGACATCTGGGGCACGTGAACACAAACAGAGATCTTTAGGTTGTGGATGGCTCATGCTTTTTCTTCTTGCCCCGACAGGACTTGCAGACACAACAGATTATACATGGAGAGGCCAGGAGCAACAAGGGTGAAGTCACCAAAGCAATGATGCCCAATCCCACAAGAATCCCCACCACCTGGAAATTGAGAGAGGGAAAAAAAGGATAGTTTAGCAGTCAAATCGGCCTATGTTTATACTATCTGCTGTCAACCAAAGCAAAACTCATACATTCAAACCCAAATCCCCAAAGTAATGGTATGGAGTCTGGGGAGTTAATTAAGAGGGTAGAAGCCATATAATGGGATTCATGCCCTTGTAATAGGAGACATTTGAGCAGTTGCCTCTTTCTCTTGGCTCTCCTCCATAGAGGGACCCAGTGAGAAAACAGCCATCTGTGCTACAGGTGAAGCAGGAAGAGATCCCTCACCAGAACTTAACCATGCTGGTCCCTGGGTTTCAGACTTCCTAGCCTCCAGAACTACAAGAAGTACATTTTTGTTGTTTAAGCTATCCACTCTCTAGGTAAGTTGTTATAGAAGCCCAAACAACTATTATACCATCTCAAGCATATAAGACCATTATATTTACATGTCTCTTTGCCAGTGCTCAACAAAGTCCTGAAGTGGACTCAAGCTAAAAAGATACAAACAAGGGCTGGGAAGGTGGCTCAGTGGTAGAGCGCTTGCCTCACATGCATGAGGCCCTGGGTTTGGTTCCTCAGCACCACATAAGCAGAAAATCCCGGAAGTGGCACTCTGGTTCTAGTGGTAGAGTGCTTGCCTTGAGCTGAAGAGCTGAGGGACAGCGTCCAGGCCCAGAGTTCAGGCCCCATGAGATACAAACAACTAAACCAAGGGTGAGAACAAACCAAAAGTGAGCTCAAGCTCAAGCTGTAAGTTCAGACTCATGATCTATTGGTATTGGCTCATTTTTTTCTGCCTGAGTTTCCTCAAAGAGTCTCATAGGGATGTTTCAAGATTAGTAAGATATGACCGCTGACTCCCTCAAAAGAAATGTAGCCTTTGATAAATATAAAAACACCACTAAAAACAAACCATGACTACTTTGAACCACTACATAAACATACAATGGCATGTTCATAAGGATCTAAGGCCCAGCAGGGGCCCATAGAATTTTAGAACACAGCTAATGTCCATAAAGGGTTTTAGGTAAGTGCTTCCATGGCTTTCCAGAGAACAGAGCATCTGCATACATTCTGTAGGTCATTGTCAAATACTGGGCTCTCTGGTGCCTCTCCAATTGCCCAGATTATGGTCATAACTTAACTTCAGGTGACTGCCTCCCCGCCCCCAGTTTTTCCCTTGCCAAGTCTAGAGTCTCCCAGGTGACATGGGTAAGTAGGAAATGGATTGGAGAGAATGAAGAGGTAGACACTTAGAACCATTACAAGTCTGGTTTATCTCATGCTCCCTCTTAAAGGTCAGGGTACCTGTGTTCGGTTCCACATTACTGAAGCTCTCGAGTGGCCAAGTTTATTCCTGCATGGCCCTTTGTCATAGTGCCTGAGGAAAATATCGTTCTGTAAAACAAAAGCAAAAGTTTCAGTAGGCATGACATTTTGAGATGAGAAATGGCTATAAAAAAGCCATATCTATCCCTTCACAATGTCAGTGGTTCCCTCTAGGAATAATAAATCTGTAATCTTCAGCACAGCTTGGTACTTTTGTAAATCACCAAGTGAAAACATATCATAATCAATGAGACTCTGATTGACTGACTGACTGACTGACTGACTGATTGATTCTATAGGGAAACAAAGGAATGACACAAACAGGTAATCTGACAAAATAAATCATGAGCTTTAGCAGAGGTTCAAGATGGAATAGAAGGATCATGATCCAGACAGCTAAACTGAGCAAACCAAGTGAGACTACGTGCCTTGACTGAGGAAGGATGGAGAAGAAATCATAGTCCTGAAATAATAAGAAATTAGTTAACTAGATGGTGGAGCAGGGACACAAAAGTATAGATGCTGGGTAGAAAAAAAGCTGTGGCTTCGTCAAGAAAAATGACAAAGATGGGCTTGTGGGGAAGACAATAACCATGGTTTGGACATACTGAACTTGATAGCGGAGTCATCAGAGGAGATCATGAGGGCAGCTCATTTCCTAGATCTGTATTTTGGAAAGAATGAGTCTGGCATCAGTAAGTGCCCAAAGATGGAAGAAATCATAGGGATGGCTGATACTGCCCAGGATGAGATAGATAAAAAAAAATCAAAGAAGATAAATACATTTAACAATGGGTCAAAGAAAATCCTAGAGGGGCTGGGAATGTGGCTTAATGGTATAGTGCTCGCCTAGCATCCGTGAAGCCCTGGGTTCAATTCCACAGTACCACATAAACAGAAAAAGCTGGAAGTGGTACTGTGACTCAGGTGGTACAGTGCTAGCCTTGAGCACAAAGAGGCTCAGGGACAGTGCCCAGGCCCTGAGTTCAAGCTCCAGAACTGGCCAAAAAAAGAAAAAAAAAAAGGCTACCCTAGAAAGGGAACTGAGGAATAGCCAGAAAGATCAAATGGAAACCAATAGATATGTAACTGACATGGAGTTAGCCATGAAGTCAGTGAAACAAAGAATCAAGGGAGAATAAGGATGTATGCACAAATGGAATTTTTATCAATAAGAAATCACTGGGAGGAGGGCAAAATGGACAAGATAGATAGGATGAATGAGAGTGAATATGGCTGATGTACTTCATATGAAAATATACAAAGTGCTTTATATATGAAACTAGAACAATAAAACATGTTGAAATTGTTTTAAAAAGAGGAAAAAGGGAGAAGGAAGTGGTGGAAGAGGTGAGTTTGATGGGGGTATATTTTATGCATATATGGAATTATCACAATAAAATCTTCCTGTACAACTAATATTCGCTATTAAAAAATGAGGAAGCCAGGTGCTGGTGGTTTATGCTTGTAATCCTATTTACTCAGGAAGCTGAGATCTGAGGATTGCAGTTCAAAGCCAGCCCAGGCAGGAAAGCCCATGAGTCTCTGATCTCCAATAAACCACCAGAAAACCAGAAGTGGCACTGTGGCCCAAGTGATAGAGCACTTGCCTTGAGCTGAAGAGCTCAGGGACAGCACCCAGGCCGAGTTCAAGCCCCACAACTGACCAAAAAAAAATAGAGGAACTAGGCAATCCTCTACTCCTAGCTACTCTACTCAGGAGGTGAGAGCTAAGTCTTATGATTTGAACTGGCTTGAGCAGAAAAGCCTATGAGTCTCTGTCTTCAAAAATAACCACAAAGGGCTGGGAAGGTGGCTCAGTGGTAGAGTGCTTGCCTTGCATGCATGCATGAGGCCCTGGGTTCAATTCCTCAGCACCACATAAGCAATAAGAAAAAAGCCAGAAATGGTACTGTGGCTCAGTGGTAGAACGCTAGCCTTGAGCTGAAGACCTGAGGGACAGTGCCCAGGCCCAGAGTTCAGGCCCCATGACTGGACCAAAATAAATAAATAAATACCACCAAAGCCAGGCATTGGTGGCTCATGCCTATAATCCTAGCTACTCAGGAGGCTGAGATCTGAGGCTCACAGTTTAAAGCCAGCCCAGGCAGAAAAGTCCATGAGACTCTTATCTCCAATAAACCACTCAGAAAACTGGAAGTGGTACTGTGGCTTAAGTGGCAGAGCACTAGCCTTGAGCAGAAGAGCTGAGGGATAGCACCTAGGCCCAGAGTTCAAGCCCTGTGACCAACAAAAAACAGCAAAAGGCAGGGTAAAAGGCATGACTCAGGTGGTAGAACACCAGCCATGAACAAACAACAACAAGAAGAGTGCCTGATTGAGTTCAAGTCTGATATTGGCACACACACACACACACACACACACACACACACACAGAGAGAGAGAGAGAGAGAGAGAGAAAACAAAAGGAAGGAAGGAATTTACTGAGGGAGGAAGGGAAGGGAAGGGAAAGGAGAAACAGAAGAAAAAAGTTCAGCCTTTTTAAAAGGGACTTCAGGTTCAGTCACATGAAAGACTAGATCATTGAAGAGCCTACAGAGGGTAACCAGATTCCCATGGATAACATTCAGAATACCTTAGCCTGAGAAAAATGCAGGGATGACGTTCAAAGCAAGAGCATACTCAATGCCCCAGCACCACTCATAGCATTTGTGTTTAGGGTCTGTCTTAGCCTTTGATTTTAGAATAGCACTCCCATCGTGGCTGCCAACTGTCCCTGCGTACCACCATTTAACATAGAACACTTGCCTGGAGAAAAGCATCATGACCATAAGTCAGTGTCCTTGTCTAAAAACAGAGAAAGGGACATCCGAAAAAAACCAACCAAACCAAACAAACAAAAAAATGGCCGCCAGAAATCCATGCCTTGACATCTGAAATCTGTGTATTGAGCCATTTAATATCTGCATCATCTCAAGTACCAACACAGTACAAGTGGGAGCAGAGAGTTCTCAGCAACACACCATCCCTAGATGGTCTTCAGCCAAAGAATGGAGACCCAGTATCCACATTTAATCCCTGACACCTGTAGCCTCCTACAGAGAAGCTAATGGGCCTGCTGCCTTGTTCATAGGAACCCAGTTAATCATCTGGATAAGCCAGAAGGAAACCAAGATTGATTTCTTTTGCATTTGTAAGGCAGTTAGGAGGCCCAATCAAGGGAGTCCTCATCCACAATATCAGTCATCTAAGATTACAGTAAGTCTTATATCACACATGCTTATAAGATAAGGAGATATGGGAAATTTCTTTTTTAAGGTAAGCACATTACTTTATTATTATCTGTGTAGATGAGATTCTAGAGTCTAAAATAAAATGCTCATCTTTACCTTTCCTATGTATTATCTCTTCTTAAAACCCTGAGACAAAGCCAATAGCTGGGGGCTGGGAAGGTGGCTCAGTGGTATAGTGCTTGCCTTGCATGCATGAGGCCCTGAGTTCGATTCCTCAGCACCACATAAGCAGAAAAACCCAGAAGTGGCACTGTGGCTCAAGTGGTAGAGCGCTCACCTTGAGTTGTAGAGCTGAGGGACAGGGCCCAGTCCCAGAGTTCAAGCCCTACAACTAAGAGAAAAAAAAAAAAGCTAATAACTGATGGGTTTTCTTATTCATGGATGTCACCTTAAATAAGTTATATGACTTCCAGTTTGGGGATTTCAGGGTTTTTGTTGTTGTTGTTTTGTTTGGTCTGAGACCAGGACTTGAACTATCTGGTTGTTGCTCTACCACCTGAGTCATGCCTCCAACCCTGACCTCCAGTTTTAAAAAGACAGTATTGAGATGGCCATAAGCATCCATTGTAAACAGCACCATTACTGGGGGCTGGGAAGGTGGCTCAGTGGTAGAGTGCTTGCCTTGCATGCATGAGGCCCTGGGTTCAATTCCTCAGCACCACATAAGCAAAAAGAAAAAAAAGCCAGAAGTGGTGCTGTGGCTCAAGTGGTAGAGTGCTAGCCTTGAGCTGAAGAGCTGAGGGACAGCGCCCAGGCCCAGAGTTCAGGCCCCACGACCCGACCCAAAAAAAAAAAAGCACCATTACTGTATATTAAGAGACTAGAAGACTAAACACACTGCTTATTGAACTAAAGGAAACCAAACAACAAAAACAAAGAGCCGAGGAGAGAATAGCAACTCAACCATGACAAAGGCTTGCACTGATGTGGGTAAAACATGCAGGTCAAATTGCCCAAGCAGGGAATATCTACGATGGATCTACACTACCCCAAACACGGAAAACTGGAGTTGACATAGACCTTCTCTCACAGTCCCTCCTCCCACCTCTTTATTATTATCTTTAAGTTCCCATTCTACAACTCTGTCACCCATCTTTCCTAACCCATCCTTTCTCTCACTTTTTTTCTTTAATTGAGATGAGGTGATTACGTTAATTTCACAATATTGTCCCAGCACCTCGTAAATGAGGGTTAGCATTCATGTTGGTATCGATCTGAATGAAACTGATCCTAGATTTGAGATGACAAGCTACATGAATGGTGAGGGAAAAGCACAATCAGATGAGTCCCTTTATCGAGGAACAATGACAAAATGGCAACACCATTGTCACACCAATGAATGAGAAAGTTATTTACAAGACAGTATTGGCTTGAACTGTTCTAATGTTTCTTTAAGTTCAAGAAGAGGCAACAATCTAATTGTGGAAGGCAGAATAATAACTACCCTCAGCCCTCCACAGAGATGCCATGACCCAGTCCCCAGTGTTCTTAAATGGCCAAAGGGACGTTGCAAATGTGATTGTGTTAAGAAAGTAAATTATCCAAAGGGATTCAATCTAATTTTATGAGTTTTGAAGACAGAGATCCTTTCCTGGCTGTGGTCAAAGGAAGCAAAAACAAGGAGAAAGGTGAGTGGTGTGGCCAGCTTTGAAGATGGAATAAAGGGAACTGCAGGCCAAGAAATTCAAGCGTCCTCCAAAAGGTAGAAAAGCAAGGAAACAAATTCTCATGTTGGGTCTCCAGAAAAGAGCACAGTATATTGAATCAGTTCTAAACCAGTAAGATCTATGCTGGACTTCTAATGGACAGGAATCTAAGAAAGTAAATGTGTGCAGCCACAAAGTTGAAGACAATTTGTTGCGATAGTAATATAAAACAAAGATATGTGTAGGCCATTGTATCACCATGAGAATGTCCATCCAAATCAGGAAATGCCTTTAAAACAAAAGTTTGACTGTAAAGCTAAGACACCCAAAGTAATCCTGAAGAGCTTTTATAAGTGTCTAAAGTAGGAGGGAGAAGTTCAGCTGTAGCTCAGTGGTTGCATCCTCACCCAGTACAACCAAGAACAAGGGTTCAATCTTTAGCACCAACCAAAGGGAAACAAATCATAACAACAAAATAGCCTTAAAGCAGAAGGCTCAGAAAGTCCCATTAGAGAAAAATTGAATCTTTTTTTTTTTTGGTTGTTGGTGGTGGTGGTTGTGGGGCTTGAACTCAGGCCCTGAGTGCTGTCCCTGAGCTCTTTTTGCTCAAGGCTAGCATTCTACCTATTTGAGCCACTGCACCACTTCTGGTTTTCTGGTGGCTAATTGGAGATCAGAGTCTCACAGATTTCCTGCCAGGCTGGCTTTGAACTATAATCCTCAGATCTCAGCCTCCTGAGTAGCTAGGATTGCAGGCATGAGCCACCAGCATCCAGCAAAATTAAATCCTTGTACAAGATAAAAATAGACTCGATTTTTTTTTTTTTTTTTTTTGGTCACAAGTGAACTCAGGGCCTGGGTGCTGTCCTTGAGTTCTTCTGCTCAAAGGTAGCACTGTATCATTTTGAGCCACTTTCAGCGTTTGCACTTTCAGTTTTTGAGTAGTTAGAGATAAGAGTCTCATGGGGACTTTTTTTTGCCAGTCCTGGGGGCTAGAACTCAGGGCCTGGGTACTGCCCTGTGCTTCATTTGCTCAAGGCCAGCACCCTACCACTTGAGCCATAGTGCCCCTCCCGGCTTATTCTGTTTATGTGGTACTGAGGAATGGAACTCAGGACTTCATGCATGCTAGGCAAGCACTCTACCACTAGGCCACATTCCCAGCCCCTCATGGGGACTTTTCTGCCTGTGCTCCATGATCCTCAGAACTCGGCCTCCTGAGTAGCTAGGATTACAGGTGTTAGTGCCAGGCACCCTGCAGATGTGCTGTTTTAAAGGCTGTGATACAGGATAAAGCATGTGAAGAAAATGTTTTCAGGAGAACTCACATCCAGGTTCTGCAGACAGTACCAGCAAAATGTGTGCTTGCAGTTCTTACACATCATCTGAGCACAGCCTTCATTGCGTTCGATATAAACCCGGCAAACAGGGCACTGCTTAATGGGGGCTTCTGCGTCTGTCCCAAACAGGGACCTAAGAACAAAAAGGATAAGAAATTATATTTAATCGGTGGTCTTCAACTGAATTCCCAGGGCTTTAAACAGTTAGGTAATGAACTCCCAGTTATCTGTGCTTCTTAATTCATTTCCAAAGAAAAGGATATAGGAGAGGGGAATGGTAAAAATGGGAATGAGTTGTTCAGATAACTCAAAACAAGGAATTTTAATTTACTTATGTTGGCACCCGGTAAATTATATTAATTATACTTTCCACAGCTGAGCTAGCTCATTGATTTACCAAATTAATGTTTTGTTCCTGGAGCACATTGTCTGAATAAGAAGTACAAAGAGTCAGCTATGGCACAAAGAAACTAGCTCAGGCTCCAAATGGGGCAGGGATAGTCTATCTCATGATCTGCTCATTAAATAAGTGGAGGCGTGGGATTAAATAAACCAAGACTATAAAACAAATGAAAATTCCCGATCCATACAGATGAGGAAGCCAGGCCAGGCTCACAGCACAAAGGAGCAGAAACATCAGAAATGGTCCAGACTGGGATGAGAGGAGCTGTAGCCCTGGATTTGCACTTTGGTTACTATTCCCCAGAACCACCATCCAGCAGGCAGGCAATCAGCCCACAGAGTTGTCAAATCTATCATCAGATTTAATAACTTGGGTAGTGGTGGGAGGGGCTTCTACTTTATTTTCCTCAGGGCCTGGTGCTATCCAGTAAGCTTTTTCACTCAAGATTGGCAGTCTACCACTTGAGCCACTCCTCAACTTCCCAACTTTTAGCTGGCTAGTTGGAGATGGTAAGAGTCTCACAGACTTTTCTGTTCCCGCTGGCTTCAAAACTCCATCCTCAGATCTCAGCCTCCTCGGTAACTAAGATTATAAGCATGAACACCAGTGGCTGGCAAGCGTTTCTGTTTTAACCTCCCTTTTTCCCCCATGAGGAAAAAGGACTTATAGAGGGCACACAGATACTAAGCTGCAAAGGCAGAACCCCAGCCATCCTTTCCTCTGAGCTCTTTGCATTGCCCTGTCGCATCCTTTCCTCTGAGCTCTTTGCATTGTCCTGTCGCATCTAGCCAAGAGAGTTTACCACTGTGAGAATGTGGGAGGGACTGGCTCTAAGCCAGCAGAGGAGGCTCATGCCTGCCATCCCTTTCTCTTTCTCTATTTGTTTGGTCTGAAATGCAAGCCCAGCACCACAGCCAGGCAGCATGACTATTCCTAAAGACTAGTTCTACACACCGTGACAGGGTGATTAAGCCAATTGGACTAGAACACTGTTTGGCTTTTGTTGTTGTTCTTCTTGTTCATGCAGAACAGCTATAGCCTCAAGCAAAGCCAGGGACTAAACACAAAGGTTTCTCACTGAGTGTGGCTGCTGCTATAAAACTGTCACATAGCAAGGTATAGACCATTTCTTCTCATCCTCACAAAATCCTAACTTCGGCACCATTGTTTCAGCGTATACGTTCTCTTCCTCTATTTCTTAAGAATTTAGGGCCAATGGGCTGGGAAGATGGCTCAGTGGTAGAGTGCTTGCATCCATGAGGCCCTGAGCTTGATTCCTCAGTACCACATAAGCAAAAATGAAAAAAGCCGGAAGTGGCGCTGTGGCTCAAGTGGTAGAGCGCTAGCCTTGAGCTGAAGAGCTGAGGGACAGCGCCCAGGCCCAGAGTTCAGGCTCCACGACCAGACCAAAAAAAAAAAAAGAATTTAGGGCCAATGATACACTGCTGTGGAAGAAAGTTCTATAGGAAAATAATGAATGTCTTAACACGCATCGTCAGGTAACTCCTCTCCAGTGCACATCCGCTGAGTCTGAATCAGTTCCATTTCCTTTCTTACCCGTGCTCCGTTGGCAGGATGATAGGCTGGATGTCTCTACAGGAGACATCTGCATGCCACGCATCCTTGCAACATGAACAGAACTTCAGGTGGCAAGAAGGGCATTCCACCAATACAGGCTGTCCTGGGTCGCTCGCTGCAACAGCGCATACGGTCTGACAGTCTGCCACAGGACACCACGTTCGGTGGGGGTCCAGGTGTACTTCTGCAACATAAAAGAAGAAGAACACAGTGACGGGCTATCTGTGTCTTGATTCAAGCTTTCTCACAGTCATTGACTCTCTTCTACACACGAACATGTATGAAAATACAATATAACCAAGAGTGGTGGCTTCTCATTTTCATTACAGGTCCAATCCTCCTCCCTCATTCACAAGGTTGCTCAGCCCTACTATAGTTCTCATATTTCTCAAATTAGGTAATAGTAGATCTGTATTCTAGTCTACTAGCATTCTCTTTAAACCCAAACTGCAACTGGAGATAAGATTTCTCACCTTCGGGCACTTAAAATAGACAAAAACTTTAATTTTCTGCTATATTATTTGAACACCATATGAGAAGTTGTTTTTTTTTTTTTTTTCTTGATCGGTCATGGGGCTTCAACTCTGGGCTTGGGCACTGTCCCTGAGCTCAAGCACTCTACCACTTGAGCCACAGTCCCATCTCCGGTTTTCTGGTGGTTTATTGGAGATAAAAGTCTCACGGACTTTCCCGCCAGGGAGGGCTTTGAACCATGATCTTCAGATCTCAGCCTCCTGAGTAGCTAGGATTTCAGATGTGAGCCACCATGAGCGCCCGGCTAACAGATTTTTTTAAAGGTATTGTTCACAAAGGATTTTGTTATTCGAGGGCTCTGAGAAATAGGTAGTATAACAAGTAATTTAAAAACAAGGAATGCTGGTGGCTCACGCCTATAATCCTAGCTACTCAGGAGGCTGAGATCTGAGGATCAAGGTTCACAGCCAGCCCAGGCAGTTAAGTCCATGAAACTCTTATTTCCAATAAAGCACCAGAAAACCAGAAGTGGGGCTGTAGTTCAGGTGATAGCTAGCCTTCAGCTGAAAAGCTGAGGGACAGTGCTCAGGCCAAGTTCTAGCCTCATGACTGACAAAAAAAAAAAAAAAAAGAACCAAAAAAACAAGGAAGTCAGAGCATCCATTGATCTGGGCATTCTGTAGTCTTACCATTGTGCTAGATGGACACAATTAGTCAAAGACCCACATGCTCTAATAACAAGACTTCACAGAGCACAAAATGGTAGACATTTCACACTGGCCAGATCCATATAACTGGTATACAGGGGGGGAAAGACAGAGAGGGTAAACAACCATTTATTTAATCATTTATTCTTAGATTTCCCTTTTCTGTTCACTAACAGCTTCATGTTCTCTTCCTATAACAAGACCTTTAAGAAAAGATACCACATGAAAAAAAATGAGGCTGTTTAGAGGAAAGAATAGCCCTTTATTCCTAGAACCAGTGTTCTGCAAATTCCTCACTCATGAGATTCTAGTATTAAGCCTCCAAGGGCTAGGGATTCCTAGAAATTTATACTCAAGCAGCAAACAAATCCAAAGAGTGAGCAAACAGGAAATGAAGGTATTAAGTAAGAGTTAATTATCTTGTAAATTTAATGTTGGGAAGAGTATGAAATGGTTCAATAAACACTCTCTCCATTGATGACTAGCCTTAAAAAAGAAAGGACATGTTTAAAAACTGCCATCCTTGCTGGGCACTGGTGGCTTAGGTTTATAATCCTAACTACTCAGGAGGCTGAGATCTGAGAATCGTGGTTTGAAGCCAGTCTGGGTAGGAAAGTCCATCAGATTCTTAACTACCAAAAAAGCCAGAAGTATGGCTGTGGCTTTTGTGGTAGAGCTCTAGCCTTGAGCAAAAAATGCTCAAGGACAAATCAGGCCCTGAATTCACACACACACACACACACAAAATAGCATTCTTAATTGTTTTGTCTTCTCTAATAATTTGGGGGCTGTTGTGCTTTGACACTAATAGAACAGAAAGTAGAATCTTATGACTCAAAAATTCCCAGACTCTAAGAGAAATTGGCCCTCAAAGATCCCTAAACTTTTAGAAGTCAAGAGGACTATAATAAAATAAGTTGTTTGGGCTAAAAACAAACAAACAAACAAAAAGAAGTAAAGAAGATGAAATTAAGTTAGTCCCCTGGAAATTTACCTTGTATAGTATCAACTCAAATTTATCACTTCTCCTTTTATGCTTTTCCTTTTCAGTAAAACCCTCTCTCTATTTTTGGCCAACTCAAAGCCTTTCTTGTTTTTCATTTTTTTCTAATAAAGGAGCTACTTCTACTGTGTGTCTGCCTTCATTTGGGGATGGGGAGGTCATAGAAGCAGGATCTTGTTCATTACTCTTCCCTGTTCACTTCATAGAGGTCATTCCTCTAAGTTATAGGCAGAGCTGAATGTATCATACTTTGTTTTTGTGCTCCAATTTGCCTGAGGAGGTAATGGATGCTACCTATTCATTTAAAGCAGTCATTCATTTCTTGTTTGTGTTACTCATTTTTTGTTTTTTGATTGTAGGGCTTGAACTCAGGGCCTGGGAGCTGTCCCTGAGCTCTTTTGTTCAATGCTAGAGCTCTATCACTTTGAGCCACACCTCCACTTCCAGTTTTGTGGTGGTTAACTGGAGATAAGAGCTCCCACAGACTCTTTTGTCATGGCTGGCTTTGAACCACGATCCTCAGATCTCAGCCTCTTGAATACCTAGGATTCCAAGTATGAGCCTTCAGCATCTGGCTGCTTTTTTATTTTTAAAGACCCAACCTAACTCCTGTGGGACTTAGAATGCATATGGTTATTATGTTTATTTACATATTCATTTATATAGATTTATAGTATACTATAAAAACAACATATATCATATTAATACAATGCATTAATATATTAGCCTATAATATTTTAATATAACACATGTTAATATATGTATGATGTATATATGTATGATATTATATATATATTAAATATCATCTTGGATGCCCTGCATTGAAACTTATTTTCCATACTTTTCTAACTCTGTCATTAAAAGATGTGCACAAGCACTCTAAAATCATCCTGTTTCAATCCTGGTATTTTAAGTATGTTTGATCTGTATGAGGTCATAGGTCTCAACTCACATCAATTAGAGCTCTCAAGTTTAGAAAGACATCAGTTTGGCACAACATAAGACTGTACATACAGCATTCCAACACTAAACCCTCCTTTACAAAGTATCACTTCTAGCCGGGCGCTGGTGGCTCACGCCTGTAATCCTAGCTACTCAGGAGGCTGAGATCTGAGGATCACGGTTCAAAGCCAGCCCGGGCAGGAAAGACTGTGAGACTCCTATCTCCAATAAACCACCAGAAAACCGGAAGTGGCGCTGTAGCTCAAGTGGTAGAGCGCTCGCCTTGAGCTGAAGAGCTGAGGGACAGCACCCAGGCCCAGAGTTCAAGCCCCACGACCGACAAAAAAAAAAAAAACAAAGTATCACTTCTAAGGGGAACTACAGACATTTTTTTTCAAACATTAGAACAAGTAAAATTATCCTTTCTAGAACTCTCTTCTCTGGAACTCACTCCTGTCTTACATCCTGTTTCATCTTACTCTTCAGGTGAGCAATCTACACCTTCTGACTCTTATTCCTGTCCACTACAGCCTCCTAAACTTACTGCAAGAACTTTTAACAAATTGCTCAGCACATTCAGTGCATCTATCAATCTGTCATATCTGATACTCCGGTTTCCATGTACAAGGCCCTGAGTCCTCCTTTCTCCTTTACCCTAACATCGCTTCCTTTGCTCCCATCCACAACTGGTATCCAGGACCCACTAGAGACTTCTATCTTACTTATTTATGAGGACTCAGGCTATCATTAAGCACAGCTCTTACCTTAAATTGGACTGTATAAATGTCTCTTCAGGCATGATCTCATATGATTATAAGACTGCAAAAATTAGGCCTATGTCTATTTTTCATCATTCACTCAACAAATGACAGGTACTTATTTAGGGTCCTGGGCATATAAAATTGGAAAATAGTACTTCCCTTTGTAGAAATCTCACAGCACGAACATCACAGTATAAAAGGCAAAGGAACGCTTGAAATAAACACACACCCCAACCCCTGGCCCACCAAGAAACTGAGCACTGTGAATCAAGGACATCCGACAAGATATAAAACCCAAAGCAAATAGCTAGGGGAAGCTCTTCAGTAGAGATAAGGCCTATTTAATAGTTATTTACAGCAAGTTTCCTATGCTCCTTTTACCCAGATATTCACAGTGAAGCTTCCCCATTTCAATCAACTTTGAAATCAGAAGGAAAAACTAGTTCCTCCTAATCACCGGAACCAAGTAGCTAACACATGCTGAGATGAAAACAGAGATTAAGCCAGAAAGAGTTTAACTACCACATAAACAGAGAGGAAAAAAAAGAGAAAGAGATGTGTCTTTGAGGTAGCAACTCTGTAGGTAATCAGCATGTGGAAGGTAAAAGAGGGAGAGAATAATCTCTTTCAGGACATTAGACTCCAGATCCTGTATTTAAAAGAAACACAAAAACATACAAGCTCTGAATAAAACTCACATGTGTACCTATGCTTTTCTAAAGAGTAGATACCTTTGATCATATAAACTGGTTTATTGTTCAGTATTGGCTTCTTGTACATATACTGGAGTTCTTCAACTCCAGTGTGGTATCAGAGTCCCCTACTCTGAAGTACAGTCTGTTTCTTCTGCATAGAATCACAGCATATCAAAATAGGTGCTTCTAGATCTCCCTATGAGTCTTTCTAGCACTCTTGGATGAAACACTATGTATTTATGACAGCCTAGTTGATTAAAATCTTTTGCACACAGGAGAAAACAGAAATTAGGCCCCCATTTAAGATAATTAAAGTAAAAGCAAAGCACTGATAGCTAAAATCTAACATGATTGTATTCTAGAGACGTGTCCATCCATATAGAACACCAATAGAGTAATATGGTACCACTTGGTTAAGGAAGATTTGCTTTGTGTTTCATATGGCTACTTGAACTTACCTTAAGGCTTTTAAATATTGCTCTAGTTCTACTTCATAAAATGCTTGCCCAAAGAGTTGGGTCATTATCTTCTTGAAAAACCATTAAAAGTAAATAGCCTGACAGGTGTTGATGGCTCACACCTGTAATGCTATCTATTCAGGA